CGCGCATCGCCCGTTAACGATGCGCCTGGTCGCTGTCAACGCTGCTAAACCTCCTTTTGGCACAAGGATGGAGAGTTCCATCACAATGTGCCGTTCCCTTCCCATCGGATAAAGCAACCGTTTTTGAATGCGAGGGCCTCCCCAACGGTTGAACTCCTGGTTGCTGCGGAAGATTTGGCCAATTGTTGCCAGAATTTGAAGTCCTAATGGACCGTATATTTGCGCGATGATGTCGCCCGTATCTGAGCCCGCTGGCCACCGGACTGTCACCACGATCGGTTCCAGTTCTAGTGTGGCTCTGTAGAAAGCCAAGCCTTCATTTGTTCCGTAAAAGCCACTGACGGCCTTTATCTTTTTGGTCGGTATGGATTGCGGTCTCGCGGCTGAGGTCGGCTGGCGGCCATTTTGAACATTGCCGCGGCTAACAGCCACTGCTGGTCGCCTCTGCGACATTTTCAGGCTAATTAGATAACCATAACTACGCTCAAACAATTGAGGTCGCTGTCGGTGGCCACGGCCGCGGTTGGCCGACGGTCATAGTAGCAGCTTAGTCAAGCTTGGTCTCATCCATACATATGTATGTATGTATGTATGTATGTATGTATGTATGTATGTATGTATGTATGTATGTATGTATGTATGTATGTATGTATGTATGTATGTATATGTATGAGAGAGGGAGGTTGAGAAGTTGTGTGGGGGGCCCGAGTGGAAGCTGCATGCTCTTATCGGACCCATATGTGTATGTGTGTGTATGTGTGTATGTGTGTATGTGTGTATGTATGTGTGTGTATGTGCCTCCCGGTCACCAGCAGCATCACACGGTGTGTATTCCCGCCGGCTGGGCGCCCTCTTTGCTGAATTTCCCTCTTCTGTCCCGTCCTGTCGTACCTCGTCCAGGACGAGCATGCCGCCAGTGGTCAGTTCGGTTTCCCCGTCGACAACACCATCGGGGGCACCCCCCAGATCAACACGTGGTCGTACGACTGGGAGGAGTTCTTCAGAGACAGACGGCTGCAACCACAACTGCAAATGACAGGTGGGGTCCCCCTGGGCACCTCCTCCTCCCACTGCTGCTGCTGTTGCTGCTCATGGTGACGGATCCTGCGGTGCTGGGCCCCCTCCCGCCTGCCCCCTCACCTCCCCCCTCACCTCCCGCCTCACCCCCCTCACCTCCCCCCACCCACACACACCCCCAAGGTGACACGCAGCTGAAGCGGATGGGGGAGAATCTGTGCAGCAATCTGCACACCTTCTTTGAAGGCATCGAGGTACGTGCGCACGCGTGTGTGTGTGTGTAGCTGTTCGAATGGGACAGACAGACAGACAGACAGACAGACAGACAGACAGACTGGCTGCAGCTGACGAGCTGATGAGTTGCAATTGGGGCTTTGGAGGTCAGGTACGGTCTTCCACCGTACGGTATGTGGATGGATACATCTATTACCACAATATTCGTTTTAGTAATTATAATCTTGCCGGAGAACGGCGTTGCCGTACACTCGGTCCTGTTTGTCGTGCTCTCTATCGTCAGGTCCGCCCCAGTGTCCTACACGGAGATTTGTGGAGCGGCAACATCGGGTCGGTGGGGGGGCAGCCCGCCGTATTCGACCCGGCCACCTACTACGGCCACCACGAGGCGGAGTTCGGAATGAGCTGGTGTGCGGGTGAGGGGGGTGAGGGGGGTGAGGGGTGAGAGAGGGAGGGGAGGAGGGAGCGGGGAAACGGAGGGGGAGGGAAGAAGGGGAGAGAGTCCCGGGTTGTGTTGGGCGTTGTGCTGCCTGCATGTGTCTGTGCAATGACCAGCTTCTCCCCCCGGGTCCCCCCCTCCCCGCGGGTCCCCCCCTCCCACCGTCGGCCCCAGGTTTCAGTCCGGCCTTCTACTCCGCCTACCATGACCTCATCCCGCGGGCCCCGGGCTTCGAGCGACGTGCCGAGCTGTACCGCCTGTACCACTACCTCAACCACCTGAACCTGTTCGGAGACAGCTACTACCCGCAGTGCGCCACCATACTCAAGAGACTCACGACGTGAAAAGATTGAGCGAGACCGCAGACCCCGCCACCTACCTAGGGAGAAGGAGGAGGGAGGGAAAGGAACTGTCTGTCAGTCTGTCTGTCTGTCGGCTCTCCAAATCCATGGGTGAACTAGAAAAGTCGGGGGAGGGCGTCGGCTGATTGTACGTCGTTTTCGACACTTAGGAAAGCAAGTGGGATCCATTGCCCATGCAGTTTTACGGCAGGAGACAACCGATGCCCTGACCAACCCGGAATGGGAGGTTTGGGGAATCTCAATGTTACGACTGTTTTCCTTCTTGGAGTGCAACATTTGGAGCGGAATACCGCAAGAAGTCGTGGGGGTAAAGGAGCGTGTTGACTGGTTGTTGAGTAGACCTCTACCCGAAGGAGCGATGATAACGGCACTAAGAGAGCGTTTGATGAGCGGCTGGGACCATACGCGTCTGACTGTCTTGCCAGAGGAGTATACCCTTCAGATGGGAAGCAACCGGGAGTGCAAATGGCGAAGTATAAGCACTGGATGGGGCTGCCCTTTTCGGGAGCCGCAGCCGTCATGTGGCCAACACATGCTTAGGTTTTCACTTCTCGTTTAGCACATCGTAAGCTAATGCAGTTTCGTATATGTTGCTCGGCTTTGGAGGCAAACAGAGCACGAAGGGGCAAGTACCATGTCCCCAGGGGGCAGCGGTTTTGCCACTGTTGTGGTCCTAATAGCCGAATTGAGGATGAAAAACACGTGTTATTGGAATGCCCAGCCTATAATGATATTCGTGCTGAAGAGGGATTCGATCTTCAACAGAGCATGTTGGAGGCCATGAAATGGGAACCCGCACGTCTTGCGAGGATGTTGGAACGTATGTGGGCTCACCGAAACTCAATGACCCCCTTTGGACGCTAGTCTGGGCTGATGTGCGGTGTTTTCCTTTCCTCCGTGGCTTTTAGGAGTTGTAGTATTGCCCTTGGGCCTTCGGCTCGTAGGGGTAGTCTTACAGGTATGGGGTCACGCACTCCCAACCATGTAACACACACACTTAGGTGACGGACTGGCAAACAAAGCTCCTGTATAAATTGCCTTCGGTTGATACACCGAGTGTTGAGGTAGTTGCGGTCTTAATCATTTTGCGGTAAGTTGACCAAGAGCATAGGTTAAGAGGTCTTACTCAGTACTTCCAGTCCTTCAAAACGCAAGCTGCTGCGTTACCTTTCTAGTGAGACAGTTCAGCGAATGATAGAAAATTTTACATGACAATATCTTATCTACGCCAGAATCAGCCGGTAGCATTATATCACCAACCGCACGCGCACAACAAACGACATTGCGGAGGTGAGCAAAGGTCCTATATATCAGAACAGAACCTCTACAGTTGCACAATACGGTGACAAGTAATAATAACTTAGGGTACATCACTGCTATTTCATAATTGTCGAACACAATCGATGCACCAACCCTAAGTTCAAAAAGACTTACAACACCCGACCATTCTGCAACAAACATCCTGCCTGCTTCCGACTTCATTTCTTCTGTCCGAAGCCTTTGTTAGTCGCGGGGGCGGGCTTTGAACCCTTCTTCGCCATCGACATCCCAGTAGACTGCCGCAGCTCACCATTTCCCTTAACAGCCTCCGCCAACGCAGCCACCCGCTGCAGGCTGCGGCTCAGAATACGTTTCTTTTCCACACAAAACCGAACCGCCAACATCTCGTCCGCGGTTTCCAAAGGAGCCAGGTCCTGGCGCTGGTTGCCATCCGCCTCCGTCGAGGGAGGCACCTGGCCGGCAAGCAAGGCCAAGTCCTGGTCCAAAGTTCGCCGGAAGGTAGACAGCGCCACCGCAATCACTCCCCCGACAACTCTCAACGCGGCTGTCTCATTCTCGCGACTGAGCGGGCAGTCAATGGCGCACAGGCGCTCGGCGCCTCCTCGTCCTGCCACTTCACCAGCCTGACGCGCCACCATCACACGAGCCGCGGCCAGCAGTCGGGGGTCGAGCAAGTCGGGGCCTCCAAGGTTGAGCTCCAGGGTGGCGGCGGCGCCCGCCAGTCCGAGTTCCGTCAGCAGCTCCTGGCGCCAAGGGGTGATGACGAGGTCCCGGGGGGGCCCCTCGGCGTCTGTCACATTCGCCACCAGGCAGCCCGCCTGATACGGCGGGTACATCACAGGACACGACACGACATGGGAGAACAACAGGAAGGGATGCAACAGGACCGGTTAGAAACGATGTTGTGTACACGATATGTTAGGGATCACGTGCAAGCGAAAGAGTAGTGAACAGAAAAGCTGCGCTATGTTCGCAGGATGACCCGTTGTGCATACTAACAATAATAGTAATAGCAAGACGGGATGCCAACGGAGCACAGGGGGGAAATACTCGCTTAAGTGTGCCGTACTGTACATGCCACCGCGGGGTGGTCGGTGCCAGGTGCTCATTACGAATGGTGTAATCACACACACACCAGTGACTACACCAGGGTGGGTGGGTGGGTGTATGAAAAGGAGAACAGGTACACGAGTGGGATCAGTTACAGCCAAGTTGAGTGGTCGTCAAAGTGTACGACTCAGATCTGGTGCCAACAATCTGTCATCCCCTCCCACGCGAATCACAAAACTTTACTGTGTGTGGAGTTCGCAGGTCACTACAACACCGACCAACATTCCCTACGTGCTTCCTCCCATGTTATGGGGGGTTATGCGGGGTTATGGGGGCGAGAGAGAGATCAGACAGCTCCAATAGATGGAATCATCACGGGGGTTTGGTTGTTGAGGCCAACACCCCACAGACTGGTGCCAGCAAGGTGTCATCACATCTCAGAGCCTCATGGAGAAACATGAAACATTTCATCAATAATGTGGGTTTCGTTCTTTGTGTATGCACAAGTATACAGGGCGCGCCATGAAAAAATGTAACTCTCAAACCCTACCTGCATTAAGCCAATATCGAATCTGAGTTGTACTGTGTCGTACGGGTTGTCCGGCACGATGAAGCCGTAGTCCATGAAGAGGAAGTCGTTGTTCAACTTCCCGTACGACAATAGTAAAGGCTCCCCAGTGGCCACCTGCACAACAAGAGGTCACACCCGGTGCAGCACATCATCAGCCATCACCCAGGTTCACTCAGGTTAGAACCTCCATGCAAGTGCCCTAGAGGTCGCGGCAGACATGACGACACGAGGAATAAGGCATAATGAGATCGCGTATGGAGCAAAAGAGAGACATGTCCTGGTCTATCTTCCACGACAAGCCGCGTGTAGACGCAACAACTCGCACGTACGTACGTAACTGCGCCTAAACAACTAAAACCGCCAAGCGAAACTCCCCCAAGAGACGGAAGTACCCAATGGCCCCATCCTCTCAGGGCTAAGACCAGACTGCCACCTCTCCCCACTGACCTTGGACTTGGCAAACAGCCCCATATCTCCGCCCGGGAGGGGCAGAACCTCCGCATTGGGTGTAAACGTGTGGTTGGCCATGTCGATCAGGGGTAGCATGGCGGCGGGATGTGCAGGGCCGCGGGTGCGGAAGGCGCGGGAGGTCACACAGGCCAGTGCCCAGCCGAGTGCATTGATGTCAACCGTAACACCGCCGAAGGGGTCTTCCGGAGAGCCCGGCAGTTTGGCCATTACCTGCTGGCTGAAGGTGTGGAGCCACCTGCACCGTTTCTGCACCTGCTGTGTGACTGGCGGGTAGTCGATCAGGTCCAGAGCCCGCTTGCTGAAAAACATGGGAATGCCGGGGATGCCCCTGGGAAGGTTGGAAATGTAGGCAGCGAAAAGGGAGTCTGCTCCTCGTAGGCGCTGAGAAAGCAGCTGCAATGCGAGCTTCGCTCCCCATAACTCGTTTGGAACTTTTTCAATGAGCGCCAGCAATCGTGGATCATCCTTCGCTCCGTAGGTCAAATGGCATGCCGCCGGAAGCACAATCAGCCGCCGGCCAGGCTCAAGGTCCTAAAGTAGCACAACTAACAGGCTTGATTAACTTATAGCATTTCGTGCGGTCACATGCAACCAAAACGCAAACCAACTCGCACTTGCAAGAGCCTTACTTGCGATGCTTGAAGTCCCCAACCGGAGGCCCCGTCACGACCGGCGAGGTTAGCAAGAGTTACTCCATCTACTCGACCGCCGTTCAGTTGCAACCATCTCATGAGCTCTGGTCCGAGGTCAGAAGCATCGTTGGATTGCGCAGCCGAGAATGGCTGCGACGAGGCGGCGGCAGCAGCAGAACGGCCGCGATATGCAGCAGCTCCATGTAAGCCGCAATGATCAGCGAGTGACACTGCCCAGCGGCGAGTGCCAAGCAAATAGTTGCTCCGCATTGCCGGCCGGCAAGGCGGCTGCCACGCCGGTAAGAGGCGCGGCATGCAGTAACACGCCGATTAGGCGGCTTTAATTAAACACAACATCCCATGGTAATGGCAATGCTGCCTATATAAAATACAAACAGTTTGGAACCGTAATTATAGTGGGAGTGATGAGGTGGTGGGCCTTATGCCCTTAGGCTCAGTTACTCTCGCATTTGCGGAAGGATTGTCTCATCATGCAATGCTGTTGTTTTGGCAAATTGTCTGGCATTAGCGCCTGCAGCTATGCCACCATGTGCCCTCTTCCATGTCTCCATCGAAGTTCCTGACCGCGGGGTGAGGGCATTTCGTCATTTAATAATTACGTCAACATCAGATGCCGCAACCGAAGGTGGCGCAGCGTGCGTGCTGTGTGGCCATACACATGCGTTACCCGCATGTACCGCTTCAAGCAGCGCGCTTTCTCGCCACCACGGTATGAGTTTCTGCTCCGTGCTCAGGACCTCGCAGAACATGGTGTCAACCTCCTGTAACCTCCTGTCTTCAGACTGAGCTTTTCGGGAAGATATCTACGTTACAGTTGTCCCAGCTACCCAGTGACATGCGACAGCGGCATTCAATACAAGTGATAGTGCCGCTAGAGCTATACATTCACGGCGAATTAGGGTGATACAGCTCGGGAAATCTGCAACGATGGTGAATTGAGCATATACCAGCAGCTCAGGAACCGACCAGGCAGACGGCAGCGACTGAAAGCAGGTCACCGAATCGCAGGCCCCGACAGGACAAATCAGCACGCACGAAACTCTTGCGAATAATATCGATAAGGATATGTGAAGGATAAAAGACGCATCCGAAACCATCTCCACTGCCACTCCCCCAGTACGACGAGGGTATCCATTGCATAGGGGAACGGCTTTCCGTAGCAAGTTACCAAAGCGGCCAACAATTCCCACGGTGTCTCATGAACCGCGGACCGGCCTGCTGCACAACCCGTTTTACCACAGCAAGCAAAGCATCACCACGCGAAATGTCAAAAACAAAAACGCCAAAAGCTCAAAACATTACGACCCAAACAAAACATTACAAACCCTTATAAGAACCGCAAGGCCAGAGCCACAACCCATGCACTTATAGCCCAGACCGGAGGGTGTTCCAGGGAGGGCTGTTCAGGGACTCCGGGTCGTCCATGGCTCGACTCACATCCACGTCACATCATGATGCGAATTCGAACTGTCCGGTAAATCGAGTTAGTCCTAACAATCACCACGACTGCATCTGCTGCCAGTCCGCCACAACATGATACGGCTCCGCATGCACCCTCACCGCACGCATTATTGGATTCCCGGTACTGACTCCACACCGCAGGCAGCACCTGGCGTCGTGATGCCGCATTGTCCATGTTCCCTCCCCTTGACAGCAACCAGCCTCGAGTTCATACGACAAACACCGAGAGACAATCTTGGGGCTGTGTTTCACGCTTCTCCCGCTCCACCTGCTCGTCGTGCCCCTCCTCACCACCAAGGACTGCGACTGCAGCAACAGTCCAAGCGCAAGCGCCGCCACCCCAAATTTTCGGGACAAGTGGCTCCATAGAAGAACGCACATCATAGTTAGATATTTATCATTACGATGAAAGGCACACAGAGTCCACTGCACCAATTAAACAATTTACTTTTCACCAATTTGAAAAAGACACATACACCATTTTTTGGCTTTCATGAGTAAAGCTTAAGCCAAAACAGTCACACAGGTTCTTCGCACTGTGCATATTCCGAAGAGCGCTAGCCTCACATTAGTGTTGGAGCAACGAAGAAGGAAGGATACCCGGCTAAACATAAACGACCCGTCACGGCTCCAAGAACTCCCAGATCAGATATTTCGTGTCTAATCCGTGTGTGGTGACATCGCGTGGGGTCTGTGCGCCGATCTGCACCCAAACGGATGGTGACCTGCATGATGGAGCCATGGGCGGCATAATGCATACCGAAGGCCCCTAGCTACTGTCGATCAAGTGTTGACCGGTTCTTGGATGAAGGGCCGGGTCGTCTGTCGGATTCCATCACTCTCTCCATCACTGCCCTCCCCCCAAAAGTCTATCCGCCAGCAGCCCCAACCACTGCCCCGTCGTTCAAAGCCGCGTGGCCCACTCCACTCCATTGAACTGCACTCCACTCGGAACCCCCCGTGACGCAGAGGTCCTCCGCTCCCGCCCCATCCATACGCGCAACCCCTTGCAAAGGGCCGCCCCACTACGCTGTGATCCGCTCCTGCCCCTCTGCATAATCGCTGTAGCTGCTACTGCCCTCAAGCACCAAAACTGCCTTGCAGGCGAACGCCTTGACTAAGAAACACGGGCACAGCAACGTGCGCACCTCCGTGCATAGCTCCCTCCGGGACACACACCGAAGAACGAAGAACCCGAACTCTCTTCCGTCGCGACCTGGCAGCAGCGTGTGAGGTGCAGCCTCCCCTCTGGTGCGTTGTGTGACTGCACTGCACTGCACTGGCGCAACTAATGCGGCTGATTTATTGCCACATACATCTGTACACACACGTACACGAGTGCACGAATAGCAGCACACACCTCCTGGCAGCACACTCCGCGGATCATCCATATTGGCAGTAGTGACCACACTCTTCAATGGTTTCTTCGTCCTCACAACACACATGCACGCAAACAGACAGGCACAACAAGACCTCATATCATCTCGCCATTACCTGCCGCAACGAAATCGAGAAAGCTTACGCTGAGCGCACATCCGCTCCTTCGGGACATGGTGGCTAAAGCTTCCAGATGAGCTCCGAGAGGCCCCCAAACGACTTAGAGCCGCAGCACCTTCATCAAGTACATCCGTAGCTCCTCCTTGACACCGAAGGTGAAGTCCAAATGTCCGAAATCGAATTCGCGATAGCTCACAGCCACTCCCTGGAGGAAAATCAAACAGGAAGGTCACGCGAAACTCCCACTCGTTTCGGCAGTGCTACCATTAACAGCCCTGTAATACGCTGCCCGCCTAGCAGCAGCAGCGGCTGCCCAACCCCCCGAGGAACGGCTGCCCCTGCGCACCGCCCTTGTTAAACGCGCACACTGCGTCGGAAAGAGATGAGAGCGGGGCAGAGGCCAAGCTGCATTTCACCACCTGCCATCATCCCGTCCCACACCACCGAACCCCCACCGGCGGACACCGCTCGTCCGTACCTGCGTCTTCATGGCTTCCAGGTGGCGATGAAGGTTGGCGGGCGGGATGATGCCGTCCCGGCGGCCCCCCACCAGGTGCACCGGCAGGTCCAGTCGCCAGTACTCGGCGGACACGTCGGGAGGTGTGGGACTGCCGTAGTGGGCCACGTTGGCGGCAGGGGAGCCGTAGTCGTACAGCTGGAACGCACCTGTGTTGACCAGCTGCACGAGATGCAAAACTGCACCGGGCAGGAACCAGAGGCAAAGGAGCTCATCGCACCAGAACTGAGAATCTGATCAGCCTCAAAATCACGACTGTCTAAACTGTCATACGCCCAGGCAAGCAGACCGATAGGTCAAGGCGTCGAGGCGCCCTATGAAAATTGCAATTAAAATCTCAACCTCGGCGCCACTGTTGTCAAATCCCTAGGTTTGCCGAACATCACCCTTGATGGCAACCAGGGGGCCTTGGTCGTAAGCCACATCTCAACACCAGGTCCCTCTCCCCGTCTCCTTCCCTAGCTCCCCGCCCCCCCCTGCTCCACCGCCCCCCTCACTCACTCACCCTGGTCCACGGAGATGGCGGGCATGTCCTGGGCGCTGTAGTGCGGCATCTGGAGAGCTCGGTCCCATTGGCTGATGTCACCGTCCAGGAGGGCCTACTCGGGGTGGGCCAGTGGGGCGGTGGGACGCAAATGACAGGTGAAGAGGCGAAGCAGTTACATGCACCTCTGGTTCCAAGAACATGGACACAGACACGACTGGACTGCATTTATTTTCGAAAATACAACCCTGACCATAAGCCACGTCAGACGCAAAGATTGGGAAGTGCCTACGGTTGAAGTAAAAACGATACTACAACCGCAAGCACGGCATGGAAAACAAAGGAGAGCAATTCGACAATACACACGACATCGCTGCTTCCAAAGCCAGCCCCGGTGTCAACCCGTACATGCTTGGCAGGCAAGCAATCCCAGCTCAGCGCCCGACGGCCGGTCCGCGCGCACCTTGAAGCTAAGACGCAGCAGCTCACCCAGGCCGGGAATCCGGCTGGCGGACAACAGCAACTTGAACGTCAGCGCGCGGCCGAGTGGCGTCGGAATGTAGAGTGGGAAACAGAAAGAGCTACCAAGGAAAACCCGAAGGACCCGGGCGATAATGGGCAATGCCCACATGACGGGCCTGGCAGCCTACGTGTGGTGGAGGCGCGGTGCAGTGAGTGATTGAAGGGTTGGGACCCATTGCACGTAGGTAACCGGGATGGAGTTAGGAACGCATTGCCATTTGCATTACCAGCACTACCCTAGCATTGCTGAGCTAGCACAACACATACGACGAGGGGAGCAGCCACAACAAGACCAGGAGCCAGTCCCTGACTCGCTCACTCCTTGCTCGCCGGCAGCACTTTTCCCAACACAAGCGTTCCTGCACAGCCACTCACTCACCCTGGGACAGTGCTTGTGAAAGCCCGCGGGGGTGAGCAGTAATAGGCGGTTTACGTGGTGCGGCCGGCCTTCCCGCAGCCGGTTGATCAGGTGGATCAGCACAGACATGCCGCCAAGACTGTGAGCGACGCAGCACAGTTTGTAAGGACACGGGGGTTTGGACGCAGCCCCATCAGCCCCAGCCACTGCACCGGTGCCGCCATCTCGCCCTCTGCCCGCCTGGCGGACAGCAGCCGAAACGGTGCTGTCCTTAGCGGCTTCTAGACCCTTCCCCCACACGGCCCCGTTGCCAACGTTCGTAGCCCCGTCACCGGTGGAAGAGAGCCCAGACGCGGCGGAGAAGTTACTCCCGGTACGCTCAGCAGCCATCAGTCGTATGGGCACGCGCTCGGCGGCGGCCCCGCTGCTTAGCATGCAGTCTTCCGCTGGTTGCATCGCCCTCGCTGCGAGGTGTTGAGAGCTGCAGGCGCGGCGGAATGAGGTCCCCAGCAGCATCGGGTTGGAGCTGTTTGGACTGTTTCGTTGCCGCTGTCCGTAGCTTTCTGCCAGTGGAGTGGCTGCCGGTGCTGCTGCAAGCAGGCCCCTTTCCCGCCCTCCAGTTGCCGGGGACTCAACGGCCGCAGAGCCATGCGAGTGAGCTGGAGAACATTCAGCTCCCTGCCCCTCAGTGTTTTCAACGACGACCTGAGAGCTGGCCGATGCTTGCGACGCAGGGTCTGCAAACGGACTTGCGGCAGAAGATGGCGCCGCGGCGGATACCGAAGCACCGGCTGCATGCGGCGGGACGGCCAGGCCGCTGGGCCTCTGCGGCGGCGGATGCAACAAGTGGGTTGCAGAGACTGCGGCGGTAGCTATGGCTGCGCCTGCTGAGGCCACGGCATGCGTGACAGCATTGGCTGCTGGACCGAGAACAGAGTTTACCACATCCAGTACGGTGGCCGCCGCGCCAACACCGCCTGCTGCATCCCCGCTGGTGCTGCCGCCGCAACTCTGCTGCCACTCCAGCGAGGCCGCTGATGACGAGCAACCCTGCCGGCCACCGAAATCGCCCATAGCCGCCGCCGTCTGAGGCCCAGCTGCCGTGGCACCCGAACCAAAGTCCCTCCGAGTCTTGGCCTCCAGGATGAAGGTCGTTGCTGCAAAGGGCGTTTGCCCTGCCGGGCCCGCCGAAGTCGAAGAACCTGCTCTCAAACCCGTGTCACTGTCGGCAGTAGTTGTTGCCGGGACGGTCAGGGTAACCGCATTTTGGCAGACGAACGGCGGAGGACTTGGTGGAAGCGCAGCTGATGGGGCAATGCGCCTTGCAGACGGCGAACTGCAGGCTGCGGCGAGGACGTCAGTGCCGTCGACAGACAACCCCGCGCCTCGACGTCGGCCTTCCGTGCATGCAAGGCCGGCAATATCCGCGGAAACCTCGAATTCTGTGGCTACGGCACCCGACGGCTCAAGGCCTAGAGCCTGTCGCTCCTCCGCGTGCACATAACGACGGCGTAGCTCAGCCTCATCAGCCCCCTCCGCAAGGTCCCCATCGTTCCCTGTTGCCCCCTTGCTGCCGTCGCAGCTGGCCATCGGTGAGAGCAGCCCCTGACTGCTGACATCAGGACCCAGGCTGCCGGCGCTGGTGAGGCTGCACGAGGCGGCCGGTGCCGTGGCCAAGTGCTGCTGCTGCGGTGACGTTTGTTTAGGAGTTACCGGAGCAATGAGGGTGGTTGTGGCCTCGGAGAGGCTGTCTGCAACCCCCGCCGCGCCACTGCCGAACGGGGCGGCCATATCTAGAAGGGTTGTACGCCCAACGGTCGAGGTACTGTTGGAGCTGCCCCAACGGTACAGGTTGCTGTCACTGTTAGACGGGCGCATCCTGTGGATTGGAGAACACGAGGCCACCGAGGCAAATAATATATCGAAAACACACACACGCACACATCGCAAGTCTCTCCAACTCGCCTTGGCGTGTTTTGATTAACCCTGTTTATTAAAGCTGCGACCGCATGGTGGGGCATTCCACCACAGGGTCCGTCAGACCCGCCTCCTCAGCGTCCGGCGGAATGCCTCCACCCGTTCCGAAACCACCTCCAAAAAGGACGTTACGTGACATCGGTGGGCTTTCCCGAAATCCCTGAATCAGGACATATACAACCATATGCGCCCACGCAGCTTCAAAACCTATTGAGCACAGGGTGCGAAATGAAGCGCAACCCGCGAAATCGGCAGTATGCCCGGCGCTCACCTGCCAGTTCCCTTGCAGCCAACCTGAACCGCGTCAAGACCCGAACCCGCCTGGGCCGCGTGCGCGGCGGATGGGCTAACGGCGCTACCCGGGAGGAGCTGGAGCCCAGCGCGGGGATTACAGCTGCCCGACATGCGCTTCCCCACTGCACCCGACCCGGGTCGGCCGAAGAAGTTCCTCGCCAGCGGCCCCAGGTGGTCCAGATCCAGAGTTACAGTGCCTGCGACACACATGATGACAGCGGCCGCCTTAGGAATAAAACAAAACAACCCAGGCACCAGGGATCAACATCAACATCGTATAAGTGCGGTCAGATGCAGGTATGCGCAACGGGCCGCACCTGCGCCCAGCTCCGCACACTTAATGTTGTGGATGTGATCCAACTGCGCGGAAATGTCGTACATGCCCATGTGGTTGATGTTGTACTGCCAATACTTCCAACCGCGGCGCGAAGGATCTGCAAGGTGGCCATCGCAAAGAGCAGGTTGAGTGGGTCGAGTCAAAAGGTTGTGACGGACTATAACTGCCATTGCCCAAGCTTGGCACGGCTTAGGCTCCAGGCAATTCAGCCTCATAAAGCGAGAATACGAGAATAGCAGTAGTTGTATGAAGTCAGGACTGTGCGATGGCTAACGTCAGGCAACGCCACGGGGTGCCGTGGGGCCCTCCGCGCCCGTTTTAGTCCTTCGCTGAACTCAATGTGCGCCACATCTGAAACTCAGCATGTCATTCAAAGGGTTCACCAAGCCATTAGCAGGGCGCCAGCCTCGCATCAGAGCCACCTATGTCGCCACTTAGGAACACAAATGCTTTGCCCCTCCATGGCCGTCCATGGGGCCCCCGGCTTTTACGGACGGGCCCCACATTAATAACTTGTAACTTTTGCACCCGACAACACCCTGATTGATACAGAACACCTGAAGACCACCATCGTGTGCTTTAATGAGAAAGAATAGTCTGCTCGTAACAACGTGTTCTTGCACCCGGATGGTGGCAACCGCTAAACATCTAGATTGCCAACATTGAAGATAATGACCGATGCGTGCGCTGAACGATCTACCGGTTGATACCTCCCTGTGGTCCCAACGGCTTCAGGAACGGCCCCACCTTGGTGCTGGCGAGGGGAGTTACCCCGGCTGTTCCCCAGCCACACGTCCATGCCGGCTTCCCACGCGGCGAATGCCTGGCTGCCAGTCACCCCCCCGCTGACCCAGGCCATGGAGGTGTCCAGCACGCCGTGCATGAAGAACACAACATCACGGGCCCCGGGGCGGGGGATGCGCTCCATGCGCAGCACGTAGCCATCATCCGTCGTGACGGTGTGCAGCTCATGAGGATAGCCGGCGTCACGAATGACCGATAAGGCGTCGCTGGGCGCCTCTGATACATCAAAGCATTGATTGGCAGCAACGCAAGGAAACACGTCAGGACGCAATCGGAAGATTCACACGATCATGCAACCATGGCGGCAGCGCACACAGGCCACCAGCCCACACATGCGCACTATTCGGGCCGCCACAGTCTGGCATCACACCGATGGCACGTCAGTAGTACATGCTATTCAGTTGCTCGCAAGCCAGCACCCCGCACACCTGTCGTGTGATGACTGAACGTGCTAGCGCCCGTGCGCAGGCGGCCATAGCTCCGTGAGCGTTGCAGTCCCCGCCGGGACATACTGGCAGACGCTGAGCCGGCGCCAGCTCCAGGCTGGTACGCCATGTCCGCCTGTACAAGGGAAATAGGCAGAAGGCTGCTGATACAATAGGCACCCGCTGAAGCTGGCACGGGACGGTACAGTACGCTGCCTTGCCGCACAGCGAAAGCAAGGCAATAGAGACTTACGATGCTCATGTGTGCGCTCTTGCTCCTGGGTAGGTGTGCTTTGTGCGCACCACGTGCATGTGAGGCTCCATTCAGCATGGTTGCGCCACCAGATCCACCAGGTATCTTCGGGCTGATGCCTGCAGCGCTGCCACCCTGGTCACTCGGATCCTCGTTCGCTAAGGGGCTGCTGTCGACGAAGCCTCCACAACGCCGCCCGTGGCAGCTGCCAGCCGTCAGGGACTCTCGCACAGGCAGGAAGAACGCTGCTCGGACCATGGCCCGTGCCAACTCGAAGGACCTGGACAGGTGAACGACCAGGGCGCACAATCTGGCCCACTTTCCACAACGCAAAGCACGATACTGCTTGGGAATAAATGCAACTGGACGTGAACGCAACAGAGGGCAGGTGCACATACTAGAAGCCGCCCCAGCATGTCTACGGCCATCATCACGCAAGTTCTTTCGACAGGGCCCCAAACACAGGGTGGGCGAAAGGGGGCCATACCCTGACGGGCGTACCTGCTCACTGCTAGTTGAGATGCCATCTTGGCGTCTTCAATGAGACCGTGCCGCCGCTTTGCCAGCTCGTCGAGTATCCCCATACCTAGGCGTGCGCGAGACAGGGTTAGCATAAGCAGGGGGAAAAAGACATCTTCATCGCGTGCCACTATGTTTAGGATGCCCTACCATACATCCGTTCGTACGAATCAGTGCATATCGTTCTCCTTTCAACATTTGACATTGTACTGTGAGGCCACTCACCGCTTTGCTGGACAAAAACCACGGGTCTTTCCAATCGTGAGGACAGCAAGGCACCTCGCTGTTTCAGCCGTCCCATGCCATGACCCTCTGTACGGGTAGGCCGGGGCCACCACGCTGTTCTTCCGCTCTGCTGAACTGCAGACCCCTTTTGGGTTTCCGCTTGCAAGGCAGCTGCGCAGCTGATGCCGGCAGGGGACGCTGTTGGCATGGACCCTGCAAGCCAAGCGTGAAACTTGTGTGTTAGGGGAAACCACACAAAGCGCCGGCGCCCTTGGTGGACACGCGATAGGTGAAAGCGTCCAGCAAGGAAAGTAGTACATGCGTTACCTACCGTGGTCATTTTGTTGTTGCTGCTGTGCAACCAGGCTTGCTACCAGCGCGTTCAAGGTGGAAGGGCGGGTAGCCACCTCACCCCACCACTGCTGCCAAGAGTTCTCCTGCCAGGCCCGCCTCAGCTGGTCACGATAGCTCCGCTTGCTAAATAATGACAGGAACCAGGTTCCAATCCCGTTTAGAAACCTCGTCGTCTCCTCGAATCCCTGCCGAACCAAGGCCAGAAGCCATTCCTCCCAGCTACCAAGGACTACTTCTTCCCACCACCTTACAATTGGCTCAACCAGCTGCAGGTGAGCCCAGCTGAGGAGTGACAGAAGCCGAATCCACATTAAGCCTTCCTCTGCTGCCAGTTAATAAAGCCGCCAAGCTTATGAACTTCATCAGAATTTTAGCTGAACATAACCGTTGCTTACGGTTAGCTACGCTCTACAGTCACCAGACCCATGAAGTAAACTGACAATTGGATATCACCAAAAGCCAAATGATACGCAGATTAAGTGAACTTCTGAAAGATAGCAAAGTATTATAATTCAGGTAAAGGTAAGGAGGTAAGGGAACCCTCCGTGCTTCCGTGACACGTCACGAGGGCTATCCGGTCGTGCGCAGATCCGACTGATCCGGACTCCGCTGGATACTAAAGTTTTCCAGTAACATTTATGCCTGACTTTCCTCGTGTTTTCTTCAATCCCACTATGCTCAAATGTGTCCGTGAAGATAGAGGGCAAAAAATACATTGCAGCTCGGAACGGCGCAAAGTGTGAACTCCAGAAAATTGGCGCAGATTACATGTCTGGTTTCGGTAATTAATGTAGGGCATTTCAGTAAGCATCCCCAACAACTTGCTGCCTATAGAAAGCCACGTCAGTAAACACTTCGCCGGCCTAGCTGGCTCTCTTCCCCTTCCCAGCAGAGCATTAAGGAATCTATACGAAGCCCATGTACATTTATCGAAGACCCAACATGCCATCAGGTCATGCGAAGTCTTGGAAAGGCAAGGCATGCATATCTATAGAGCAAGGTGGCTCCTCTATCCTGGGTAATCCCAAACTGCTTCGACAGAGAAAAAAAGAACTCATTCGTTTCGACAGCTGCGCACACATACAACACGCGTACCATAACAAACCTGCCAGCTGACATAGCCCCAAGTTCACAGCCCGACAATCAACTGATACCCAATAACGGGACGACCTAAACATGCTCCTAGCGGGCGGGACGACCGGAAGCCTTCCTGTTTATCTCCGCCGCTTGGCATTTGCACCACCGCCTCCCCCACCGCTGCCTCCACCCCCCCCTCCGGCCGCTTTTCGCTTTTTGCCCCGCCTCTCGTCGTCGCTGTCGTCTGAGTAATGCCGCTGCTTGTCCGCACTGCATGGGTGTGAGTGGCAAGGACTTCCTTATTCCGGGTCTGCGATTGTTGCTTAATGCAGATCCAGAGCGTATACAGATTGCTGTACATGACATTGACGCAATCGGACAAGTCAAGGACTAGCAAAAAACAGGCACGCCAGGTGCTTGCACAGCCATCTTTTCAGGGCCTTCCTAAGGGCTTATGTTCATGCACCGCTCTTACTTGCGTGCTTCCTCCTCCAGCTCGTCCCAGTCCTTGCCCTCGCTTTCATCCTCATCTCCATACTCATCGTCATCGTCCTCCTACATTCAGGGTTTAGCGCCGTGACAGACTAGATTAGGACGGGCAGCGGGTTGAGAGGTTAATTCATGCATTATAACCCACCTCCTCTTCCAAACTGGCGTCGTCACTGTCGTCATCACTGTCGCTATCGTCATCGTCCTCATCGTCGCCATCATCCGATGGGGCATACTCCTCGCTTGCCTCTGCCTCCTCCTCCTCGTCATCGGATTTCTGCATAGGAATCAGCAGCACAGCTGCTCGCTCTGAAGCGTGTGGGGGCTTAGGAGACATTGCCAAGGGAACCCTACCTCAATGTCCAGGAAGTCCCATCCGCCTTGATCCACAAAGCCGACGGGATCCGCGAGGATGTTCTTGAGAATGGGTTTCCATTGTAGGTTCAGCTTAGACTCGTAGTACTTGATACCCATGTCCGTCAACCAGCCCTGCGTAGTGAAATCATATTCCTTCAGAAGGCTGGTAGAGGTTTTGACAAATTTGCTCAATAAGAAACCTGAAAACGTCTCGTCGTCTCTGTGTCCCCACAGTCAACTCCCTTGCTCACCTTGATGCCTTCAAGGCTCTTTGAAGGAATGGCGTCGATTCGCAGGACCTGCAGGATGAAAGCACAATCGTTATCCACTCCACGCTGTAGCGGCTACACAAGCCAGGACATACGCTAAAACCTACGTCGCGGGTGAAATCTTTGAAAACGATGGCCATGTCGAAGTTCTTGAGGTTAAAGCCCACACGTTCGAGGTTTACAATCTCTATGTCCGCGAGCGTAATCACTGAAAAAGGCATCTCCGTGAGCTCAACCAAGCAGTTGACCGACGGCATCATGAACACAGTAGACCTGGGGTAGGCAACACGGGCAGGACATGCTACTGAGCGCATGTTTGCGACGTGCATTTCGTGTGCAAATTCTAATCACCGACAAAAACATCCGAAGCATGCAAGCAATACCCGAAAAGCCATGACCCTAAAGAAGCCAAGGCTACTGCATGTGTAGGTGCCACACCAAATGCACGACACCGACACCGACTACTCTTACCTGTGCGGCACACCACTAAATCCGAGCTCACGGAACGGGATGTCCCATTCAAGGCTGAGGTCCGGACAGTCCTTGCCCCACATCTCCTGTTGTAGTAGCAGGCAAAGCATTGCTTGATAAAATAGTATACAAAGGCCTATCATCAAACATACTTGCAAGGCGGACGCACACCGCGAACGTGCTTCCCCCCGGACATGCTCACACCTGCACGCGCTTGACGAACTGCTGGAACTCCCCATTAATCTTGTTCCGTCGTTCCCTCTCGCGCTGTTCGTCTTCCAGCTCGTCCGGGTCGTACATATTCCGCCGTCCGCCACCGTCAAGCGTTTGCACGACATCCATGACCTGCGAAGCAAGAACACCGCCGGACCGGAGAACATTTCAACAAATGCTCCGGCGGCATGGTCCTCGTGAAGGTGCATACAACGGTTTTCCACCAGACCGCATCATGCACAAACTCAAGCACCTCCGTTGCTCTCCCTCACCTCCGTGTAAAATTGGACGTCCTTGGTCTTCTTGTTGCCCACCATGATGGGGTTGTGCAAGTGCATATGAAGGATGGTAATCATCTCGTTCTCGGCCGGCTGGAAAAGTGCGTGCTTGATATTGCGATACATCACGTCCAGGATTTCGCCCTTTGGCGTCTGGTACCTAAGGTCCAGGGGCGACGGGCTCATACTTGCTCAGCGCTACAAGATAGAGGCAACTATAAAACATTGCTTGGAGGCGAACATGCGTCACGTTATTTGTGGTTGGACGGTTTGGGGTGATCTGGCGCGCGGCACTGTGGCGACAAACCTGAATCCATTCGCGTGTGCCTCCAGTGACCCCGGCACCTTTCGCCCCTTCCCAGGAAATGCCGGGCGCATCCAGAGGTCTGGTAGCTTAAAGATCTTCTTGCCGCGAACCTGGGCCATCCAGCATAAACCAGGGTACCCAACAGACCAGGCAACGCAAAACATATAATTAGTCAGAGCGAGAGGAGATGCACTTAGCACGCAATCACGGCATAGTTACACAAATACTCACGAATGTTGTCTTTCACAGGATGGGATGCTTGTATGATAACCAACTCACCAGCTTCTCTTGCGCCACCAAGGTTGCCCGCTCAGCCCTCTCCTTGTCCCGCTGTGCGATAGATGAACGCAGCAGCTTGATGTCTAGGGCCACCTTGTTTGCGTGCTTCACGTCCGAGGACCTACGTGCGTAGTGGGCAGCTAGACAGGAATTAACCAATGGGGACAACTAGCACCACAGCACGATTGCCATGCAAGCAGCGCATTCCCAGGTGCACTATAGCACAACGCATCCTGCCGGTCCTACCTGAAAGACAGCTCCTTTAGGAACACGGCGTTGGGATATCGCTGGTTGGGCTCATAGCTGGGCCCAAGGTTAAAGGTAACTCGCACCTGCAATGGCAAGCGCGTGTCATGTCATGGAACAAGTGTGCTGGCAGCATGGTGCAAGGTGAGTCAGGAGGACTGTGCTGTGTTGCGGCAAGGAGTGACCAGAGACCTACTGACGAGACATAGGTCGTATTGAAGTAACTTTTGAGACCAGGGTTCTTCACCCCGATTCGGGCCCGAACTTTTTTGAGATTTTTCCGTTTTGCCCGAAAGGAAAATTAGTGCGCCCCGGAGCATTCTGAACGGATTTTGGGCCTTTTGGAGCATTTTTTCGGGGGCCCCACCGAAGCATTTTGAAGGCATTTTCGGAGAAAACCGAACGATATTTAAGCGTAAATTTGCATGTTTTCGGGCGCGGAAAGGGCCTGGAAACCGGGCTTGCCGTATAAGGCTCGCTTGGTCACCAGTCAAACAACAAGTACAAATGTGCATTGCGGCTGTTTCGCAGCTGTATCGCACACATTTTCATACATCTAAGCATATCCATATCCCACATTTTCATACATCTAAGCATATGCATAGTTAAACATGCCCGAGTCAACTGATGATGAAGGTGCCCCGCATCTCCCTCGGGATTCGCGGCTTCGGCAAGCTCGAACCGCCTGTTTGCCTTCGATGTCAGCGAACTTGACGTTTTGCAGAAAGAGTTTTCAGTTATGAAGTCAAAGATAGCCTTGCTTTGGGTAAAATCCTTGCTGAAATATTTGGAGCTATGTTCCAAAATAAAGTCAAACACCTGTTAATTCAGCCGTCCTAGCATATAACGATAGAATCCAGCTAAATTTTACCCCGAAAACCGCGTCAGACAGTTTCGGGGTACCCGAAAACACTCTCCGGCTGACAGGAAAATTTTCGGGGAGGGCCCCGAAAGGTTAATCAGAGGGTTTCGGACACGGCCGAAATTTTTGGGTACCCTGGTGAAGAACCCTGTTTGAGACATATGCGCCTGACTGCATGTGTCTGCAGTGAAACAGGTGTAGCACTAGACGTGTACGAAACAGGGGAAGGCCCTGAAATGTTCTACGCTTGTCCCTTTCGCCTTGACAGGGGCAATGTAAAAGCAAGGATAAAGCCAAAAATGACCCCAACCACGCCCCCAGTTGACGTTCCAGCCGCAACATCCGACCACTGATGCTGTGCATGAGCCAGCGGCATCTGTGAACTCACCAGCGCTGCGTCACCACCTGCATCGTTGGTCGTCGTCACGTTGCGAATAGTTGTGATATGGAACGGTACAAGAACACCGTAGATGGGTAAGAGCACCGCCTCAGCCTTCGTATCCACCTGAGAGAACAGCGCAAGGAAATGTTACAACATGGAAGTTGCTGACACACGGAACTCCACGGAGTCCACAGTAAGCTTCAAGGTGTATCGTAATTAATGGCGACACGCGCGGCAGCTCCATTATCTCCCGGGTTCATTTTCAATAAACCAGCCTTAATGGGAAGCAATAAAACAGCCCCTTCCTAGTGAGCTTACTTCGCTTATCATTGTGTATTTTACATATACCCATTACCTGCACACGCAAGTCTCTCGCTGGCGGCATCTCGTTGACATGGCGATAAGCAAAAGTCTCGCTGACCTTCCGGCCGACGGCCCCTCCTGCGCCGCTGGCCCCTCCCGCACCGCCCGCTTGCGCTGTTAAGCGGGCGAGCGTCTCCTCGTTTTTCTTCTTCAGAAGCTCTTCCTGTTTTTCCTTCCTGTGGAAAAAAGTGTTGCGGATTGAATTCTGAATCTCGCCAGCCACGTACATATAAGACACGAGCGGCATGGCATCCATCCGGTACCTGAGCTGCTCTGCGGACTTGAAAGTAGGGTCATCGGAACGAAGGGTCTTCTTCAGACCCAGAGCTGCCAGGTTGGACCCTACACCGCTTCTGGACGTGCCTGCACCGTTCGTCACATCCTCAAGTCGCCCGTCGGCGCCACCACCGTCCTCGTCCTCCTACAACAGACAGCCATAAGTTCACAACTGAATTGGCACCAACGTGTAACAAGCAGAACGCAGCATGTTGCGGTACGAAAATCCCACCTGGATTGTATATGTGACCTTATCGTAATTCTTGGGGGCCGACGAGGTAGCAACCTCATTTGGCCGGTCGCCCTCAACTACGATAACTGTATCCGCAATCTGCAGAGGGATAAGGACGAAGGATCCTCGTGTAGTAATCACATGCACTGTTGTAGACGTGGTGACCGTGGTAGACGAGGTAGGCTTTAGGGTTAAATTGGAATACATTGCATACAGGTAAATTGCAATACATTGCATACAACGCCGAAATCTCATTACACAACACACCATCGCTGATTATGACAACCAAGCAGCACTAAGTTGGAAAGTTCCGTACCTGCAAGGCGTAGTTTCTCGCCTTAGCATCCTGCGCGTCGCGGTTGGTCAGTCCCATCACCCCCAGGCATATGTTGAAGACCATGCCCGCGCGCACACGAGGCCCCCCGTTCTCTCCAGCCGGCGCAGCCTTTCCAGATCCGGGGAGGTGCAGCACGTGTGTGCCCTCACGAAACTCCAGACCCATCCCGAAGCCCACGTTCCGCGACAGCAGAGAAATCAAAGCCTCCTGTCCTCAGGGCGATGCAAGGGCCGCAGGGCAACGGGTTATGCACAAGAATGTGGACATTCGGCGTGCCTCAACATTTAGTAGACTTTCCTACCTGCCCGTGCGCCTTCAACGTGTTAACCACTGCTTCACCAGGGGCTGTGAGAGGTGCGCCCGGTTTGAGCGCCGCAATCGCCGCCTCCTGGGCTGCCAAAAGCGCCATGTACTGCGCCGTCTGGTCTTTAGAGGGATTGATGATGAAAGAGCGACTAATGTTTGCACAGTAGGAAGAGTAGCGGGTACCTACAAAACGCGGAAACCCAATGCAGGTTTGGCGACGGCAAAGAACCCAGGTGAGAACAATGTACAATTGCAAGCAGCGGTCCATATAACTCACCGAGCGAAACGACGATGACACCATCATCGAGGAGCGGCATGTCATTTGATATGGCGCTGACTTTAAGGTCGTATGTTCCTCCCGACTGCAGATGAGCAACGTGGGTGACCATGAGTCGATTACTATAGGGTTAAGCTGCACACGTGCGGAGCACGTCGGCCCACGCCTTACCTGAAAGCTTGGCGGGTACGCTATGTCGCAGTTCTCTGCTTTAAGCTTTACTTGCACCTGAATCGCAAGCACACAAAAGGTGGACTCAGTGGTCTTCGCATTACCCAGGCGCACTCTCGATTCCCGTACCTTTTGCGGGTCCGTGATAGCTTCCTCGCACATCTCGCTCAGCTTGCTGTGTTTCATCTTTTTCCCTGCACAAATTGCGTACATGCCCGATATTGGCACGGGGGCCACACCTATACCCCTCGCAGCAGCGTAAGCGGCCCGTGCCCCAACATGAGGCCAGACCACAGACCGCACCTGAGTCCACGACATCCTCGACCTTTGGTACAACCCAGTTCTGCATAGCCTTGGCAGCCAGCAGCGCGGCTTTCTTGACATTAAGGATCTGGAAAGGTGTCCCAAAGCCATGGATAATCTCAGGATGGATTGTCCAGTATCGCCAAAGTTTGAAGCGCACCCCTCACCAAACGTACCTCGTTTGCGTCCTTGATAGCCAGCAGGTCAGCTATGCCGCTATTAACGTCCACGGTACGCAGACCGCTGGCCCCAAGCGCAGCTAGCCAGACCTCCCACAACTTCCCCGTGTGTTTATCCTTAGGCAAGTGGCCAAGCACCGGGTCGGCTTCGGCTCCACGCGCGGCATCCAGGAGTTGGGTACACTACACCACGGTTGTACACCAATTGCAGAAAGAACTGTGAGCGCAATCACTGTTACCAGTTCGCATGGACCTTGGTGTAAGCACCTCGGCACGCAGCACTACTAGGTGGCCTCGCTTACATGGTACACGGCACGCAGCACTAAACATCAAAACGACTACACACATCGGGTCCTTGCTGATGACATCAGCCCCACGACGACCAACGGCTTACCAGAGCCGAACCATCATCCGCTTTCGGCTTCACGAGCAGCTCCATTTGGAGTGGCCCTCCTTCGCCTCGGGAACATGCATCAACAACCGGTTGCAGAAGCGAAGCTGCAAGCCGGGCGTAATGTGCCATAGAGCAGGGGGGAAACGTGTGGGGGAGGAAAACGCAACGGAGGTACCTTGACGGTCAGGCATACCTGCACGACTCCAAACCATATCCCCACAACCTTACCACCCCGGCTCCATGCACCTTCCGGAGCAGAAACTTTACACAGTTTCCCAAGCATGCCCAATGTCACGAAGAAAACCCACCTTTCTTTTGGCTGGTGAGTACCAAGATCCGCGACCTGGTGCATAGCAGCACCGTGTCTGCAGCAACACCCCGTGAAGGCGAGGAAAATTTGACTTAGTCGCATAAACAGCTACACACGCCATACCTGGTTTACGAGCAACTACACGTACCGTAGACGCTCGACACAGAGGTTCCGCCCCGGCAGCAGAGCACGACGGCACGACATCCTAGCCTTACCGGGCAGCTCAAAGCCAAAGAGCCACAGATGAAGAGAGATGGACTTTAAGTATCTTAAGTCATCTGAAGGCGCTCCTACCGCCACCGCCAGCACGTTCGCGCCACCCCAGACGCCACTTTGCTGAGTCTACAAAGGAGGAACATGTTTGTCCGACATGGGCGTCCCCTTAATTCGAAAATTATAACACGTGCTTTCAGCGTATCAGGCAAAGCATTGCCCTAAGTGGTGGAGATCTTGCTATTCAAAACGGTACTGCGCGCCAACGCACCGTCCAGCTCTGATAAAGCCTCTTTATTCGGCGGCAGAATTGCTGTGCATCTATTGAAACGTCGGCCATGGTGGCCGACAGGCCCTAGGGGCCCCGTCACTAAGGGAAATGTCCTTTGAGAACTTGTAACAGGCCGAAGTTAATTTGACAGCTCTCTAAAACCGCGTCAATGATTCGCTTATAACCATGAAAATGGAAAGTTACTTCACCTTCAGTTAGGTAGGCAGGTTTTCGCGATAGGGGAATGCCGTACTTTTTACCCGACAGCCAAGCAGGATCAGCGATGCTACCGAACACAAATACAATTTCTTGACTAAACTGGAACTCAAATGTGATATTTATTAGGCCTTTCTTGCTAAACCCCGCTGATGCCGTCTTGTTACCGAGCTAATTATCTATTACAGTATACGCGGGGCCTTGGGAAAGTCGTGCCTTGTATGCTCGCTTCTCACTCAGGATGGATTCATAAAGGAAAACTCTGACAGACAGGCACAAGCTGACCTACGTGAGCCCTATTCCGTTGTGCGTGCATCCTATGGACGCTTTACGTGCAGCGGCATTGCGAACCCTTTTGACATGTTGCGCAAAGGTATTGGTCTTGCAGGACCCCCAACACCCCAAATTAAGCATGTATTGCGTTGGTATGTCTCTGCCCGGTGAGTCTTGATCATGGACGAACCTCACAGGACTTGGAACGAATACTGCGATGCAACGCTGCTCCCGAGGAACACTTGGGTCTTCCTGTTTCAGTGATTAGTTTAGCTGACCAAGAGCCACAGGTAAATAGCCGCTCGTTGTTTTGAGGCCAGGCAGCTACACATCCCAGTTGTTCGTACGGTTTCTTACAATCGGTGTTGTGATGTACGCAAAGCTTGCCCAAGCCTTGTACGCCCGGCCTCTGGAGGTGATATCATTGCTTGATGACGCCACCATCCAAGCCCAATCGGTAAGGGCTACAGATTGTCGTGCTGCTGTTCCATTGCGTGGTTCGTGAAACGTTTGGGTACCGCTCTCGGCTGTGTGGGCAGGAGCTTAAAAGGATCCTTGAGGAAGGTTATGCCCAGGAGCGACGACACCTTCCGCAGGGGTCCGCTGATGCCACTGACGCACCAGCGCCCTTGAACGTATATGACAACGTCCATGTCCGGCTGGTGGGTCTTCCCTCCTCGTTGGACCCCCGAGTGAGCCCCCTGCGGCCGCCGCTCTCCCGGGTTGGCTGCGCCCAGCTACACCAGCTCCTGTCTGTCACCGGGACTGTCGTCCGGGGTTCTGCGGTTCGCATGTGGGAGAGCAACCAGATATACGAGTGTACACGCTGCAAGGGCAGGTGAGTGTTTGGCCAAATGTGGCTCGATACCTTTTTCCTGAAACCCCAGACGTGTTCCCAGACGTGGTGCCTCAGACATCCTCCTGTTAAGGCGTCCTCTGTTTCGCCACTTCCATGTAGGTTTGGACTCAAATGTTCCATTGAGAGTGGCGGGGTGGTGGACTTGCCCGAAGCCTGTCCTATCCAGGTATCACCTAGCTAGCTGTTTCCCAAGCTAGCACGGCAAAAACCCTGCTGTTACGCGCGGGGCCATTCCGACCGCAACAGCCATAGCCCAGTTTTAAGGAGCATGCCGTTTACTTCACGGTCCAGATCAATCTGCTTTTATTTGTGCCTGTTCGCAGCGGAACCCACCTTGCACCGGAAGTAAATTTAAGAAGGTAAGGGTGTGCATGGGTTGAAGCTTGGCTGTACTGGTGTTAAGGCACTGGCTGGTACGTGCAAGGTTGTTTTTGGCTCACACGCAGCTTGGGTGGTACACGGCCTTTCCGACGCCGCAGGTTCCGGACATCAGCATTTACAGCGGGTTCCAGGAGTTACGGATACAGGTAAGGGACTGTGCGGTAATGGACTCTGCTTGCAAGCCTCAGCTTGCGTAAGGATGGGATGTGCTGGCCATGTGGCCTACACTAAACATAAGGCCAGGGCCGCAACGAACGCGCCGTGGACTCGAATTCGAATGCGATGCCTTGAACTGCAGGCCGCAACTGCGTGCCTTGGGCTTGGAGAGCCGCCCGCGTCACTGACTGTAGTTTTGCAGGTGTGGTGGGCCGATGGTTACCTCTTGTTCTTGTAACACATAACAGCATGGCTGTGCAGCAACGTATGTTGCATCAGCGCAAGCAGCATGTGATGATGATGTGTGCATACATGTCGTTTAGAGATCAATACTGATTCCTGCCAAGTTGCATCACGGATTGCACCCAGTTATCTATCGGGATACCAGGAACACGCACAAGATGTCCATTGCCCTAAGGCGTGCATATTTAAGCTTATAACCTTGGATTTTTCCTTCGGAGAAAAGATCTTTCCTTTCTCCTTAGCAGTCTATTTGTTTCAATGTACATGATTCCGTCCCAACGCCGTTCACTTACTTTGTACGCAATGGAACGGGGCATTGGCGGCTTTGCTTGATCCGGAGGTGGTTCTCTGACGTGCAGGATGAGCTTGCGGACTCAGTAAAACCTGGAGGTGAGATCCAGGCACACGAAAGCCCCCCATGTTGAAGGCCAGGGCGCTGCAGTAACATGTGTGCATTTGGGGTATCCTGTTACACCAAGCTTCATATGTACACGCCGCAGCCTTTCGCGTTCATGCCACTTCGTGACCAATAATCTTCACGTCCATCTATTGGTACCCGTTGGAGGATCGCCAGAAAGGCCATGTGCATGCATGGCCCGCTTTCGGGCCCCTGCCCCCTGGTCCGCTTTCGGGTGGGTCAGATTAATGGGTTCGGCTGCATGCCGAATGACCGTTCTGGGAGACTGGCAACACTGAAAGGGATCGCATGCAGATACCTGCGTGAACACAATACTGGAAGCTGAGGGCAACTTCCATCCCTACATTGACGGCCCGTTGATACACGTTGGAATTGTTCCTTATTCCTTTTTCACTCGATGGCGGTTCCTGCATGCGATGTGCTGAGCCCCAGAGAGTGTCGAGGTAGTCGGGGTGCTTGTGCCGCGATGGCGGAGTACCACGCCAGGGCAGCGATGTGATCTGGAGCTCGTCTTGATAGCCAACAATATCACACCGTTCACCGATGGCCGTGGGGGAGAAAGGCTGGAGCTACAGCTGCCGGAGCTGCCGAGACCCATTGGCATGTCGCCACCCCTCTGCACTCTGCCCGGTAGCTCTGGCCTGGATGCGACACCTGAAGTTGTGATGCTCTTCGAGGTGTGCATGGCTGGCCTGTGGATATACCTTATGGTGCATCTGCAGTTGTATCACTGTAAGAGGAGCTGTCTTGGAACTTCACAGTTAGTACGTGTTTTGGATGCAGGACTTCTGGCAGGCCCATGAGGATCAGCCGCTGCTGGGCAGAAACAAGATCCTGGCCGGTGTGTGTCCGGGTGTAGCGGGACTGCTGCTCGTCAAGCTTGCAGCGTTGCTGGTCCTTATCGGCGGTGTTGCGCGTCGAGATGAGGGTGGCACCCACATCCGTGGAGAGCTGCACCTTCTACTTGTAGGAGACCCCGGCACGGGTGAGGACCGGGGTTATTGCTGATCCCGCTGGTGTTACTGCTGCTGCAGCCCTCCAGGGTGTTTGTCTCACTTCATTCAGCTCGTGTGGAATTGCAATCTTCCTGGTCTGGGGTAACGATAGACGCTTTAATCAGGTGGCAAGGTGTGGTGTGCGGTGCAGGCAAGTCCCAGATCATGAAGTGGTGTTGCCAGGCGAGCCCAGGCCGTGCAGTGCTGACGACGGGCCGGGGTAGTAGTGGCGCGGGCCTTACCGTATCAGCGGTGCGCGAAGGGAACAGCTGGGCCTTGGAGGCGGGCGCACTGGTAGGTCAGATTGTGGGTGGGAGCAGCATACGTTTGGCGGAGGTGACTTGCTGTGATATCTCCAATCACAGGCTGGCACTCATCGGCTGCTCAAGTGTGTAAACGGTGAAGTTGGTCATAAATACCGGTGGTGATTCAACAAGTGAAGCGTGAGCTTTTCCACTACGAATGGACTCATTCCAATTTGCACATAATGTGCATGCAGTCTCTGCTTATGCAAACTTGCCTATCTGCTGTACCCAGGTCCTTGCGGATGGAGGGCTGTGCTGCATTGATGAGTTTGATGGCATCCGGCCAGCTGAGCGCGCCGTTATACACGAGGTAGGGACAGCCAGTGGGTTTGGGGGCGAGGCCCCGGACGCAAAGCGCCTTTTGGGGGGCCGAGGCCCCCGGGGTTCACTGCTGTCAGTCAGTCAGTCAGTCAGTCAGCGTCATGCATGAACTCGAATGCCACGCTTAGCTGAAAATTGCATTTAAAATCTACTACAAATCCTCTATCAATATACCGAAGGAATTAATTCACATACATCTGTGCATGAAGATCGTTTCCCGCGGGCCATGGCCTTGACTTCTCCTGCTGCTTGCGGCCTCACATCGCTTCTCATGGTCACCGTGGTATAGCCAACAGCAGCCAGCAACTTGCACACTGTTCACTGCAATGCACGCCAACGCATAGCCTAGAGCACGGGACAGGTGGGCCGTATTCCCTATGCAAACGGCCCACCTGTACCGTGCTCTAGGCTATGTCGTTGCGTTTCAGTCTTGGTGGATCCGATCTGGGATGACTCTGAAAGGAGCCTTGTACCGGACATACGTTGTCCGTTGGTGAAAGGGTGCTCTGCGTGCCTTGGACTGTCATATCGCTGGGTCACTGTCGTCCAGGACTGCACTATAGCCGCAGAACCTGTCGCCTCCCAATTTGTTCATAGGTAACAACGGCAAGCCGCGCTGCACCAATGGCTCACCGCTGACATTCGCCATGGCCATCTTTCCTGTCTAAGATTGCTGGAAGGCTAGCGTGCTTGCGATGAATGTGGCGGCCAGTCTGCGGTCGCGACCGGTTCTGGGGGTGTATTGGTGCCTTAGCTAGTCGAGCTCGGGAATTGGCAAAGCATGATAAGATCTCACAGCTATGCGCACGAGGATGGCATGTGTGAAAAATAACACTGAGAACTGCACCATCTGCATGTGGCTCTGGTTTTGCAAGCAGGCTTGTAACTTATTTTGGGGGAGTCTGTGGGGGTGGAGCCCCCCCAGCGCCTCAAAGCTAAGTAATAAATCACATAAAACCCTGAAAATCTATTACTTGATAAGTAATAAAAAGGGACCCGCCAAAGAAAATCACCGTAGAGCAGGCGAAGCTAGCTCCAGATCTCTGGCGTCCTGGGCTTCCTGAATTCACTTAATCATTCCTCCCCCACAGGCCATGGAGCAGCAGACCGTGCACGTCGCGAAGGTGGGTTGCCTCCTGCACCTTTTATGCTGGAACTTCTTTTCAACCGCTACACACTCTCTCATGTATCTGCTGCATGCCCCTCGCAGGCTGGCTTGGTGACCAGCTTGAGCACTCGCACTGCCATCATCGGCGCCATCAACCCACAACCGCGCATGACAATGACGTGTTCACGGCCACTTGCAGATATAACTGGTCTAGAGGGTCCCTTGCTTTCCCGTTTCGACTTGGTGCTGATGCTGGCTGACCCCCGTCACCCCGATTGGGATAAGATGGTAGCGGGACATGTGCTGGCACGGCGCAGCCTGGTGACATCTGCTCAGGTAGCAACCAGCCCTGAAACTGGGATGCAGTTTGGGGCCTCCAACAAGCAGTCTGCTGCACTCCGTGGTGCACGTGATCTGAAGTCGCCGATATCTGAGCCTATCCTTATTCCTGATGGGCCAGGCTTATCTGGGTTCCAGTTCTCAGATTCCCAAACCAGCCAACGGAACGTGACCCCTGGGCAGATAGACGAAAGCAAGATTAGTATTGCACAACGTGTTGCAGCACGACTTTCTGGCAACATGCAGGGTTTTGGTCCGGCAACTGAAGTATTAACAGCACTCGAAGAAGATGAGCAAGTGCAGGGTTTCCATGTTGCCACGGGCACCAGCAACAGCATGGGTCCGTATGCCGAAGGCTGCCATGGGGCCAATATCGACAGCGCTTGGACACTGGAGGTCATTAGAGCTTACATCTCCTGGGTGCGTGGGCGGCAGCAGCCAGTGATGACGCCAGAGGTACGCTTCTCGCTAACATGACGGCATTCACCATGTTTAATTAACTGGTTACTTGTTGTATTGTGTAGGGCCAGTTTAGAAACCGCTTGAGACGGGCTCACCAGTGCTGAACCCTGCCAATGTAGATACTTGCGTGGATGGAAGAAAAAGAGAGCAAGGGAAACAGTTGTTTGCAACCCTGCTGGATCACCATGATAGCGTCCTCAACACGCACAAAACTTGTACTGACCTTGGGTAAATTTTTGCACCTTTTTTGCTGTTAAGGCCGAGCGTGTGCTGGTCATGTACTATGGAGCTATGCGGCGTGCTGAGGAACGGAACGCTGCAAGGTTTGTACATGCTTGTTTCTGTAAAAGGCTTGCCACGTGCACTACTTCCACCACGACCACCTGGCATTTGTGCCTTGAAATGCATCACTGCTATAAGGATAGCTGCTTGAGCCACGGTGTTTGCTGCACTGTGGTATGATGCAGGTCCACCATCCGTGCACTAGAAAGCCTGATCCGCTTGTCCCAGGTGGGTGTTTGGGTTATGGATGCTTGCAGGAAGGGCACGCTAGCCATCTAGGGTCACCTTGTGTTCACATTATTACTCGCTTATGTGCACTGGTCAACATAACGGTGATTTGCCATACTTGCGCAGGCACATGCTCGCTTGATGTGTAGCCACCAGGTGCTCTTGCGGGATGCAGTGGTGGCAGTGCTTCTGACAGATACATCACTGCAGCTATTGCATATCCCGGGGGCCGATAATGTTACATGTGCAAGGTAATGAAGCCTTCTCTAAGGCAGCTTGCTGGGATTGTTTAGTACGTGTGTGAATGCTTGATGTGATGACACGATTAGGGATGCAGGTTCCTGGCTGCTGGCATAAGTCATGGCGCCCCGTTCCCAGTGGTGCAGCAAAATGGATGGTGCCCGCCAATTCTGTTTAATTCCGTGCAGGTTTCCAAGTGACCCAGACAAGGAGCTGCGGATGCATCAGCGTGTGGTGCTTACAGCACTGGGCCTGACCAGCTTGCTGCCTGCACCACCACCCATGTTGCCTGCACCGCCTGAGTGAGCTTCATGGTGGAGAACAAGGCCTAGGGGCCGTGCTGCATATGGTAGCAGGTCCGGTGTGTGTCTGACCAGCCAAGTCCATAATATGTGGTGGGCCATGGCGGGGCAATGGAGAATAGTTTTCAAACTGATGGCTGACGTAGGAATTTATCAGCTGTTACAAAAGATTGACAGGCTAGCCTGGAAGAGCAAATATGGTAAGGTGTGTTGTAGAGGTCCTGGTAGGGTTCCAGAATCGATCCCGATGGAGAGCATGATAATTGATTCCTCAGTTGTAAGGAGGTGTTTGTCATTCCATGCCGATGGACGATGATGGCTTAGCTTATAGGGACCTATGAACTCTTCAGATGACCATAATTCAAACTGAAATTACTCTCGATTGATTGAGCAGACGAACCAGGGATGAAGGTCCCAGCATTCTTTGGGTGAAGCCCTGCCCGTATGCAGGTATGGACTTCTGCAGCAGTGCTGCATTTAGACGGCAAACTTGACCAACAGTAGCTGCAAGCCGCTGTTTAAATAAGAATAGAATTATACAGGTCTGTAATCATCGACAGTAAATGCACATAGGTGTTAGCTAATTACAGCAAATAGGTGAGAAGGCCGAACAGATCTGTACTAGCTCACCGCTGAGAAGGTCTCTCAAGATGATGGTGGAGCGCAGTGATTTTTTTCATTTAGGGCGGGTCTCAATTTATTCCAACCTAAGTAACAAAGTTGCTAGGGTCGCCGTAATTTATTCCGTAAGTGTGGGGCGCTGGGGTTTTGGTGTTTGTTCAACTTTCGAGTCGTTGCCTTTAGCGTGTTTGGCTATGTGAGGACCGGTCATACATTCTATGCCGCGTTGACTCACGGGCTTGTGAATATGTAAACATGTTGATGAGCTACCACATCACAGCCAGAAAAGCACATGCTATCGCAATCAGAATAAGTAAGTGATGCAGACATCACAGGATACTCTTGTACCTACTACTTTTACCAGCAGAAGTACTTTTATAGCTTGTTACATCACAGAAGACGGAGGCGTCCAAGGCACAGACAATGGACTGTCCCAGAAAATTGAACGGAAATCGGCTTACCTTTTATTAGTACGAGTAGTTGACAAAAAACATTCTGGAATGTGCAACTTCCGTGACAAGAAGGAAACGGGGCATTGGGGTTGGCTGGGTATGGCATCTAGGGAAGGGTCGGGGTATTGGGGTTGGCAGCAAAGATCTGCTTTGAGCACTATGACGACGGGTGATCGCGTTAAGTCCGCGTTAGCTCGCGTTAGTTCGCGTAACGGTGCGAATCTTAGCGTTAGGTGCGAATGAGCATGCTTTGGTAACGCAAAGAGCTAACGCACAACGGCTATGGAAAAGCGGAAATCAGCCCTTCTGGCCAAGTTTTTTAAAAATTTATAATTTTCAGATTGTAAAGGTTTATTTGGAAATAAACTTGCGTCGTTTTGGCCGACTTGAACAATTCATCCGTGCGTATGTTGAAACGCGAAGCATACGCGCATGTGTAGCAAGGCGATACGCATGCGATTCCATATTGCGATTCGTGCGTGTGGGGAGACAATGCGTAAAGCAATTCGCGTCCACTCGCACATCAAACGCACACAGTCCGCAAGGCTATTTGCATGCGAATGCATGTTGCGTATCATGCGTATGAAGGCTGATTGCGTAAAGCTTAACGCGGCCTAACACTCGCCTTACGCACACATTTCGCAACGCATTTCGCATGCTAATACATGCTGCGTTTCATGCGTATAAAGGCTCATTGCGTAAAGCTTAACGCAGCCTAACACTTACCAAACGCACACATATCTACAGATGTTGCGTTTCAAGCGTATCAAGGCTCGTTGCGTAAAGCTTAATGCGGCCTAAGCTAACACACAACAAGCACACACGATTTACCTTTGATGAATCGCATGACATAACAATTCACATGCGATTTTTTATGTGTTGGTCGCATACTCAGTTCGTAAACCTTCACGCAGTCTCATGAGAGGATAACATGCTTGGCAGCACTCAGGGGGGGCTTCCGCAAACGAAATAGCATCAGGCGCAGCCCTACACCGCACAACGATTCATCATACCATCAACTAGATGCCAGAAAGGTGGCGGGACATGCCGCATGCGAACGCGCACGCAATTAGAACCCCTCCGTGAGATGCGTCGGTGGCTGTGAGGCAGGTGGGACTTGCCTGGGAGGCTAAAAGGGCTTCCGGACGCATAAATCGCACCAGGCGCCGTCGTACGCCGGACCAACGATGCATCATAACATTAACTAGTTGTTAGAAAGGCGGCAGGAATAGGAGCATCCATACGCGCACGCAATTAGAACCCCGCCGTGAGATGCGTCGGTGGCTGTGAGGCAGGTGGGACATGCCTGGGAGGCTGAAAGGGCTTCCGGACGCATAAATCGCACCAGGCGCCGTCGTACGCCGGACCAACGATGCATCATAACATTAACTAGTTGTTAGAAAGGCGGCAGGAATAGGAGCATCCATACGCGCACGCAATTAGAACCCCGCCGTGAGATGCGTCGGTGGCTGTGAGGCAGGTGGGGACATGCCTGGAGGCTGAAAGGGCTTCCGGACGCATAAATCGCACCAGGCGCCGTCGTACGCCGGACCAACGATACATCATAACATTTCAGTTGTTAGAAAGGCGGCGGGGAAAGGAGCATCCATACGCGCACGCAATTAGAACCCCGCCGTGAGATGCGTCGGTGGCTGTGAGGCAGGTGGGACATGCCTGGGAGGCTGAAAGGGCTTCCGGACGCATAAATCGCACCAGGCGCCGTCGTACGCCGGACCAACGATGCATCATAACATTAACAAGTTGTAAGAAAGGCGGCAGGAATAGGAGCATCCATACGCGCACGCAATTAGAACCCCGCCGTGAGATGCGTCGGTGGCTGTGAGGCAGGTGGGGACATGCCTGGAGGCTGAAAGGGCTTCCGGACGCATAAATCGCACCAGGCGCCGTCGTACGCCGGACCAACGATGCATCATAACATTCACTAGTTGTTAGAAAGNGCGGCGAGGAATAGGAGCATCCATACGCGCACGCAATTAGAACCCCGCCGTGAGATGCGTCGGTGGCTGTGAGGCAGGTGGGGACATGCCTGGAGGCTGAAAGGGCTGG